CCCTCCTCCTCCCCGGCTGCCATTCTCATAGTTGTGTTCCTCTTTAAACTAGCACACTGTGATATGTTACTTTCCCATTGCTGACAACTAATACGTAAAAATGATTTTAATTGCCATCCGTTGAACAAATTGAGAGTTACCAAAGAGATATCAGCACAAGCACATCACAAAAAGTTAAACCAACACAGTGCAAATACTTTGTAGTTGATGTAGTAAGTAGTGATAGCATGCTTGGGAGGATCAGAGCCTAGCACTGGTGTCTGTGGTGTTGCAGTTATGCACTTCACCGTCACATGCAGGAGACCCTAGTCCAATTCCCAAGCAGGGAGAAAAGTCAAATTGGTCAATAAAAATTCTCTCCACTCGGGAATCGAAGTCGGGACTCCTGTGAGAGATAGTGAAGTGCCTGACTATTACACCCCAGATGCCAGCCAATACAGTGGAATGCTTTCATTTGACTGAAACTTTACATTTGTAGACCAAGCCGAAGGGCTTGAACTCAGCAGATAGCGGCGAGATTGGAAAAGTAAAGTAAAGTAACGAGATAAGTAGCCCAATGGTTTTCTCTTTCTTGAGCTACATGGCTTATTCTCTGTGGTGAGAGCTGGATTATGATGACAATTGAGTAAACCTGATCTTAGCTGTTCTGTTCCATTTCTATGTTTCTCTTAGTGAAAAACTCAATGGTGAAATCCTTTTGACTGTCCGTTTCATTCTCCTAATTCTTTCATCCTTCTGTATTTACCTATGTAGTCCCGATGATACATTCATAGTCTCTCATTCTCTCTCTCTCTCTCTCTCTCTCTCTCTCTCTCTCACACACACACACACACACACACACACACACATACACACGCATTAATGCATGCTCAGACGCACACATGCACACTTATCAATGATCTGTATAAAATTCCTCATTTGGCCGTGGAAAGTAAGAAAAGTACAAAGAGATACTCCAGTGCAAGAGTATTGTCAGAGTGTCTTTTGCCTGTGGATATATAACCAGGATTAACCTTTCTTTGTTTCTCCCCTTTTCCCCTGGAATATTTCTATTTATAATTTACTAACCTTCTGGTTTTATCATGACTGTATATTTTGTAGTATAATGCATGTATTAATTATATCGGTGCCGGTCCACTTGACTGTCTACTGTGAAAATGTATCCTACCATAAGGCCAGCGCTGAGGAATTTTGTAGCATCACTCCTGCCCCACACTCTGATGCAGTACTTTTTAAAAAATCAGGAACACACACACACACACACACACACACACACACACACACACACACACACACTCTAACACACACACACACACACCAGACAAATTACTAATACCAAAACATTTTTATTAATATGACCAATGTAACTGATAGTCCTGAGCCTGTATATATGCAAAGGGAAAATGTTAAGCTATGTAGATTGTAGTGGGCTAGTAAACCATCAAGTGAAACAATAACATTGTGGTAGACGATCAAGAAGAACAGAAACACCGAGGTAGACTGTCAAGTGAACCATCACCCAGTTATCTGTAGCACGTACATTCCCTTTCTAAAACTCCCTGCCTTTTGACTTCATGCATACACTGTTGAAAGGGATGCTGAATTCATACCTTATCGTACATAAAGTGGTAGGCTTGTGCTGTTTTCGTCTGTTTTGTCTTTTGTGTCGTATCAGAGTTCCACCTAGATCAACTCCGGCTCTAATTTACGCTGGGATTCTTCGCTAGTCAGGGCTGTCAGAGCATACAGTCTAGCCTTCACGTAGCAAAGCACGATTATGAAAGACAGTTTTTCAGGTCCTGAGTTTTTGTTCTCAAACATGTATATTCTTTATATATTTAAAACACGTGCATAGCAAAATTCATACATGACGAAATCATTTCTGCATCCCGCCAGTTTCACCATGTGCTTAATAGACTACTTGTTAATGACCTAAAGCTCCCTATTTCTTCACATATTTGTGAAGAGGACATTTTCGTATCTGGGTTTACTGAGATGTAATACTAAGGCCTACAAAAAGAAAAGGATTGGGAAAGTGAACGAGTTTGAGATTTTTCTCAGCTGTATTGATAGTGTTAACTTGTGGGAGGTTAGGGCGTGCCACTGGTTGGTCCTACTTCACTTATTCTACTTCTGTTGCTTCTGTCTTTCTGTTTTGCTTTTTCCTAGCACTATTTTATGGACGTGCTTCTCTTTACTCATACTGATAATGAAAGGGTTTAGTGTTTGCATGTTTGTCAATTGTTTACTTTGTCGTCATAGGTGGTTGGTGGGTGCTCTCATATGGTCTGCTCCTTCTTTCCTATTAGAACCTTTATGGTCCTTATCTTTCCTACTTCTTATTCGTTTGTTTATTCTTTTGTTACACAACCAATCGTCAGGACTTATATGACCTTATTGTGTTGCACATTATGTAAAACTCTTAATTAAAACTTAGGGGGGAAAAAGCTTCGCTGTCGAGTTTCAAGTATGATTACCAGGTCTGTAGTAGAAGCCAGTAGTTCAGATGAGATAATATGTGCCATAGGTTTTATATTTAGTGTCTCAGATTGTGTGACATTTTTGTCACTCTTGTTTAAACACTGGATGTTTCATCAGAAGATTTGAAGATACACAAAATATTTTAAATCTTTCTTTGTATACATGTCAAGGATAAAGAACATGTTTTTGACATCAGGCGTTCAGTTTGGGGGAAATTTTGAAAAGCGGAAAATCATGTTAGTTTCTCATGGAAAAAAGACTATTCACAGTTCATACTGGATTGCATTGAAGGCAGCTATAAAGGAGTTTTCTTTGACTTGTGTTGTTTCAGTTGTCATAGCTCCTTTATTGTGAAAGGGAAGAGAGAGGGAGAGAGAGAGACAGACAGATGAATTGAATAGAGAGAAAGAGAGAGAGGCAGACATTGGAACACAGTGGGATAGAGACAAATACAGAGCAGATAGAGACTGAGAGGAAGAGAGAAGGAGGGAGACAAGGAGAGAGGAAGAGAGAGAGAGAGAGAAATGAAACTAGAGGGAGAGGCGGGGAGGAAGTAGAGACAAAGGGAGAGAGGGAAAGAGGTGGAGGGATATAGGGACATAGAGAATATGAGAGAGATGTAGATAGAGAGGGAGGGAGAGAGGTAGAAACAAGAAGAAACGTCCAAGGACTTAGATGAGTTCCCCGTGTGTCCCCAGATTCATCATTGAGGACAAGGCCACCTTTTTCAGCCCGGCCCAACGCAGCTTGCTGACTCATCAGATCTTGGCCCGAGCCATCTTTGAAGACTTGGGAGATCCATCCAAGAACAAATTTGGTAAGCTATTAGCTGACGATGTAGTTGTATCTATTTTTAGTATTATTACAGTCTAGTACTCGCATAGCAAAAGAAAACTTTGAGTAATGTTTGGTATCACTAACTTTATGAATATGGTGCACATTTTTTAAAAACTCAATGACGACACCTCGCACAAACATGTGTGTGTGTGTGTGTGTGTGTGTGTGTGTATGTGTGAATGTGTGTGTGTTTGTGTGTAAAAAAAGAAGGGATACAGGACCAAGTAAAAAGGACAGCTTTGCCACAGTGTAGTAGTGTTTCACTGTAGTTTTGTTTTTCATAGAATGGCCCCACTGTGCTTTTTAATTTGTGAAATGTTTTGTCCTTCTTAGGCATCAAAAAGATGATCAGCTCAGGAGCATACAGTGCCGCTTTCCCACTACATGAGGTATCAGAGCTCACATCTTTTTATTTATATATATATATATGTATAGATATATAGATCGATATATAAATATGTATGTTTTCATTGTGTATTTGTGTATCTGTGTCTGTGTCTTTTATCATCATATTGGCCTGGATGCTACAGAGTGGGACAACCACCGAGTATTGTGTTATTGGCCCAGGCCCTCAAACCTTAGATTTTCCTTCTTTCCTGTCAAACATCTATCGTCTTTATCTCTCCTCCATTTATACCCTGTATATTATTCTCTAGTAACGCCTCTAATCTTAGTTACTTGTAAGACCTATTTGTGTTGCAAGTACCACAAAACTCTTCTTACAACTAAAAAAAAAAAAAAAAGCTTTGTTAATTAAGGGTATGTATTGAACCAGCCTATGTAACACTGCTTTTCTCATTGAGTCAGTCTTTGTAACCTAGATTTTTTTTCTTATTAAGCTAGTCTTAACGAGGCAGGGGTAGGCCTTGAGCAACTTACTTAGAGAACCTAAGTAGATGGGTGAAAGGGAAAGATCAGGGTAACGTAGCTTTTTTAAGAGCATCCGAGCAAAGGAATGAATGGAGAACCATGATCGATGATGTCTACCGCAGATCTGGCACTTGATGATGATGAAGATTGTGTTTGTAACATTGTTGTTTTTTTCCTGATTGAGTCCGTCTTTGTAACATTGTTTTTTACTGATTAGTCAGTCTTTGTAACTTTGGTTTTTTTTTCCTGATTGAGTCAGTGTTTGTAACCTTGTTTTTCTCAGGGAGAGTATACAAGTGAACACTCCTTGCTGTCTAGAGGCCCGGAGAACCAGAGACATGTAAGTTATTATTTGTTTGCTGAAGAATTAATATCCTCTGCAGATGCATTGGTCCTCCTCAGACATTGGCAGATGAACTATTTTTAAAAAAAATTATTATTACAATTCTTCTTCTTCTTCTTCTTCTTCTTCTTCTTCTTCTTCTTCTTCTTCTTCTTCTCCTTCTCCTTCTCCTTCTCCTTCTCCTTCTCCTTCTCCTTCTCCTCCTCCTCCTATCATTAATATTGTTGTTGTTATTATAATTATAATTATTATTATGGGGCAAACTTCAGTGTGCGTTGCTCTTTCATCTTTTTTTCTGGTACAAGCATCAGTGACATGCAACACAACGTTTCCTCAAGTGACATTTTATCCCTGTCTGTCCACAGCTGTTGTACGAGACCTGGGCCAAGCCGGGGGTTTTCTATAAGTTCCAACCTTTGGATCACATCAGGTGAAAATATAATGAACATTCTTTGAAGTCAGCCTTGGTAAAAATGTTATATGACATTAATTTATATAGCACTCAACCCAGATTAAAGAACACAAGCTTTGGGTGCTTTACAAAAACAAATTACAACATATAGACAGTACATTGAATTCTGACTTTAAAAATGTGGATAATATATATCTTGTGTTATTAATTTACTATTATTATTATTATTATAATCATCATTATTATTATTATTATCATCATCATTATCATTTATTATGATAACATTTCAGATTGTACTTTGGGGAAAAGATTGCCATCTACTTCACCTGGCTGGGCTACTACACGGGTCTGCTCATCCCGGCTGGACTTGTTGGCCTAGCGATCTTCATCTACGGTGTGGCCAGCATGCCCTACAATGAGACCAGGTTGGCTTGTGCAGCAAGATATTTAGCAGTGGATACTGTAGGCTATGTGAAAAGTGCTTGGAAACAGGCAGACCAAGGAAATAAAGGCCATGATACAATACGTCTGCAGAGAGTAGAATGTAAATAGAAAGTAGAGTTCATTTGTGAAGGGGTTGAAATGTTTGGAAATATATATATTTTTTAGACAGGATAAATTATCTGAAATAGCGACTCAAATTACAGTCAGGTAAATTGGCTGCAACATCACAGAGCAAAACATACGACTGATTTATTATTCATCTGTTAACACCAGAAAGATTAACTTATACTCATAACACCAACTCCCACCCACCTTCTACCCATCCTCCTCCCCCCCACCCACCCCCGACTCATCCCCCTCCCACTCTCCCCTCCCCAGCAATGAGATCTGCGACTCAGACGGTCCTGGAAACTTCACCATGTGCCCACTGTGTGATGGCCGATGTACGTACTGGAGACTCAAACGATCGTGCGGCTACGCGCGCGTCACGTACATGTTTGACAACGAGCTCACTGTCGGATTTGCTGCCTTTATGGCCCTCTGGGGTAAGTTTTATCATGAATTTCTTATAGATTGTTGGCGGGTGCTCTGATGTGGTGTGCTCCTTCTTTCCTATCAAACATCTATCGTCCTTATCTCTCCTCCTCCTTTTTTTAATATATGTTACTGATTGGTAACACCTCTAATCTTTGGTATTTTTGTGACCTCATTGTGTTGCAAGTGCTGTAAAAACAATATGAGTGTCTATTTTCTGCAATAGAAGTATAGGATTCTAATCACATGTATGTCTCTTGATCCTTTTTTACTTTTTTGTCTACTGCTTTGTTTGAACTTTACTCGTGTGTGTGTGTGTGTGTGTGTGTGTGTGTGTGTGTGTGTGTGTGTGTGTGTGTGGTTGGTGGCTGCTCTGGTGTGTTTTACTCCTTCTTTCCTATTAAACATCTATTATCCATATCTCCACTTCTTCTCTTCTTTGTATGTTATTCTCTAATACCACCTCTAATATTCTGCACTATCCCTCTCTTATGCAATTACCAAGCTGCTCTGAGTGAAAAGTCAGCTACTGGTGATACACACAGACACAAAACTAAAACAGCAGATAAAAGCTCTCAGCACAACTATCCCTCTGTTGTGTCTGTCTGTCTGTCTGTCTGTCTGTCTGTCTGTCTGTCTGTCTGTCTGTCTGTCTGTCTGTCTGTCTGTCTGTCATCTTGCTTTATCAAAGCACTAAACGAATGTCGTCTTGACGATGAGTTTTTCAGCTTCGTAAACAAGCCATTTTTGTCTGTGTTTCAGCCGTTGTGTTCCATGAGATGTGGAAACGACGTGAGGCAGAGATCAAGTACGACTGGGACGTGGAGGACTTTGAGGAAGAGGTCAGATTAAAGTCTGTCGAAATTAGAGATTTTTTGTTTTGTTTTATTTTATAGGGAAAAATTAAATAATGTGGATTTTTGACTGCCCTGGTATAGCATCCTTCAGTCTCAGGAGACTATGGATCTGCGCCGTAGGAGATTTCTCAAGAGCAGCACTTTCTGTGGCTGAACAGGCCCACACAGGAATGGCTGTCCTTGTTGCAGTGTCTGCACTTGTAAGTTGCATCTTCCTGCGTTGGTAGCCTATGGCTGTTCTTTCGGCGACGCCGTTTGTCCTCGGTAGCCTGTCGCAGTCGGGCTTCACCTCTGATGAGACCAGCTCGCAGCGCCCGTCTCCATTTGTCGCGATCGCACGCCAGTATCTCCCACCTCTCAGTGTCCATGTCTCGCTTGCACCTGACACAATCTCTTGTGACTGCCCTAGAGACATGGGAAAATATGAACCCCCTGTAGGCATCTGTCACTTCGGGCCCATTCTCTCTAAGGTGTAAAGGAGCGGATTATGGTATTTGTTTACTGTAAAACTGTGTTTTGTGTATTTCATTTAAGGTAAAATACTGTGGTGACTGAATGTTACAAGAACTGGCTTTGTCACTTTTGTAAATGTGTGTGTTGATGTGAGTGGAGATTTAGCCTAAGTGTCCCCCAAACCAGAAACCAAACAGACCAAAAGTTGTCCGTCTCTCCGAAAATCAGTAGTTTAAATAGAGCACCGGTTTTTACCTTCAATCAGTGAGAATTCTGTTTGGATATGTCCACTAAAATACCCAACTCCTTACAAAAGTCAGATCGGTTTGGGAATGCCACTCGAAGCATTTTAGTTTGTCTGTGAGGTGAGTCATCAACCACCAAGCCAGCCACGCCAGCCAGGCCAAAAAAAAAATTTCAAATTTTAAGTTCTGATATGAAATCTAATGTCATATAATTAATATTCAAAATCGACGCTTTGATCCAACAGTGTATTAACAATTTTAACTTTTTTTTTTTTTTAATCATTCATGCTCTGTTATTCTAGCCTTTTTTTTTTTACTTTTAAACTGTTCAAGCATGCCATAAAAGAACCAAATTAAATTTTTCCAAACTGGACAAAAATTGGGCTGGTTCTGCTTCGGTGAACAGATGGTCCGAAAAAAAATGTATCAGAGAAAACAGTAAAACCTTTAGTGGATTCAGTATTCCCTTAATCTGTGTAGTTTGTTCTTGGTTTACTTTATTTAACCTCAGTTGTTATCTATTTCAACAGGAAACCATTCGACCCGAGTTTGAGGCTTCAGTGCGCAGACGGAAACTCAACCCCATCAATAAAGTGAGTCATGATTGGGGAAGCGTTCTTGAAAAAAAAAACACGTGACTTTTGTGTCCTATGGGATGTGTTCTTGCGTGTAATTTCACATCCAGGGGTGTGTCATGTGTGTAGCGTCTCATCCACAGAGAGTCCTGTGAGGTGTGTCATTGCTTAGTGTCTCATCCACAGAACAAGAAGTGATATGTGAGACTTGGCTATGTCTGGTAACCAACACGTGCCTGTAATGTAGCAGTTAACCATTTTACCGTTGCACACAAATGTAGAATTTTGTACTCATTTACATTGTTTTAAAGTTCCCCAGACTGCAACGGGAAGGATACTGATATTTATATTTGCTCAAAGCTTTTATTGTTCCATGTCGTTTCCAATGAAACTTTCTTGTCCTCCTCTTATAAACCTTACATATGTGTTTCTGTATGTTCTGCTCAGTGTTGCTGGTGTCGTTGGACCAAGTGCACTTCTTTTCACGTTTTATCACCATTTTCCCTGTCTTCAGTTCACCATCCTCTGTTCTCAGATTTTCGTAGCTGCCAACCGTTATACCATTATATGTAAAAAAAAAATTTTTTTAAAGACCAGCATATTTAATACGTTTTTAAGGATTTGAGTATGCACAGTAGTCTGTTTTGGTATTGGAAAATATGTATTCTGTTTTCTAGTATTGCTCCTAACAGACTTGCAGATGTTTAAGAAAAATTTTGAACTTTCAAGACCGGATTTACAAATAATAATGAAAATGAAGCACAAGTCTATTGTAGTTGTGTTCTTTTCCATAATTGTGTATTGGGCATGGATTTATCGAGAGCAGAAAAGTGTGTGAGTGAAGGGTTTGGAGAGGGGGGGTGGGGGTACTTGGCAATGCCCTCAATCTTGACCCACTGTGTGAGCAGGGTCTGTTTTTTGTTTGTGGGCAGTTGGCGGGTGCTCTGGTAGGGTTTGGTCCTTCTTTTTATCCAACATCTATCGTCCTTATCTCCCCTCCTTCTATTTTGTGTTTTTTACTCTCTTGTAACACCTCTAATCTTCTGCACATATATGACCTTATTGTGTTGCAAGTGCCATAAAACTCTTACTAAAACTAAGAAGAAACTGTTTTTAGTTTTGAAAAAGTTGGCAGCTATGAATTTAGAGGCAAGCAGTTGGAGAGTGCTTCTGCCAGATCCTTCTTTTGTACTGTCCCTCTTTTAGTTCTGTGTCTTCATCCCCCAAGCACTTATGTGTCAGTAGCTGCGTCACAGGCTTTTCTTTTCCCCTTATCAGATGTAACTCCTTCAGTGCAATATAGTTTTAACCTCTGGTGCCGAGCAGTGGGGAGATCGGACAGAACATAAATATGTGAGGCACCGTGGTGAAATCAGGCACGTGTCAAAATAAAGAAATGTAAGAAACCAACATTTTTCCAGCAGTTGGGCATTTTTTATAGGATTTTCTAATTTTTTCTCAACACCTTTTATGTCCTTTGAAAAGTGCATTTCTCTGTGGATTTTACTGAAAAAGTTTTTCAAGGTCACAAAAATGTAAATTTGCAATTTCCAAGGACAATCAAACTTCGGAAGTCACCAAACTTTGGTGGCCATTTTCTCGCTAATTTTACCTATGACACCCCACCTCCTTCAATCGCTAATATTTCAATTTCTATTCAAGATAGATAGGAATTTTTTCATCAAAAGCAAGACAAATGAACAAGCTTTAAGATGATACCGATAACTCTATATGCCAAAAAATGATGATAATAGTTTGTCTAGCTCTTCTCTTTTTTCTGTTGATTCTGTCTGTCTGTCGGTCTTACTTTTTCCCCAACAAAGAAATGACTGTCTAGTGTGTTTTATGTGCCTCTCTTTGCTCAAACTATTCACTGGCATCTGTGGTCTAGAGATTAGACACTTCACCATTGCAGGAAGGAGACCCATGTTAAATTCCCCGTTGGGGAAAATTTTAATCTAGTATCCTGGCCTTTCTGCTGGGATTTTGTATCTCTGTGAGCCCAGGTTGGCCCTGACAGGCAGGGTTGAAGGCCTCCTTGTGACTTATATAAATTTTTTTGTTTGAGGGCGTAAAAATACCAACATATAGAAACAAAATTCAAACTACTTGGACTCCAGACTCCTCGCTTTAACCACAGCGTGTTGTCTTCCACACCCATTGTCAGAAGTGAGAGAGGATTGGATCATTGACATTACCATTCTGAGATGTGTTTTTGACCATGACATAATTTTGTACCTCTGCAGTTGTTTCGGCAAGGCCTAAAGGTACCTGTCTCTCTATGTCTGTCATCCTCTCGCAGAGCCTCTGCGTTGCCTGTTTGCCTCTGTGCAAATCCTTTACCCTTTGCTTCCAGAGTTGATTCTCTGTCCTTCACCCCACACTCCCCTCCCCCTCCCTCTCCCTCTCCTTCAACCTTCCCAAACCACCAGTTTTTGCTAGATATTAAAAGTTGGTGATCTGAGAATATGATCTCTTTTTTTCCAAACATACATTTAAGTGCTCAAGTAAAATCAGTTTTTTCTCTGCACAAGCAATGAGTTCACATGAAATAAAAAGGCCACAAACATTTGTCAAACCAGTAAATAGCTGGTTTTGTTTGAAAGGGAGAAAGGCAAGTTATATTTGATCCCAAAAATAAAGAGTTTTTCCAGAAATGCTCAGATATGGTGTATGTGGCATTTTGCAATGGAATCCTTCAGGTGTTTTTCCTTAGGAGCTTCGACTCGGATGATTTTGTTAGAAATCTGGATATCTCTCGCAGGGCGTTGTCTCCTGTGTCTTTGTGTGCTCCATGTTGGTTCTTCACTCAAACTCTGACCTGGCTTTGCCTTTTTTCCCATGGCTTTGACTTTGCTGCTGTCTGTCAAATCCATCTTTACCTGATGTTGAAACAAGACACTTTTGAAAATTGTTTTATTAGATTTGACCCCTTTTGGTGTAAACTTCTCTATAGCGCTAATGCTGGAAACATTGTGCATGCGTATTTGATTAGAATTCTTTGATGACATAACTAACGTAGTTTGTAGACACTCTGGCTAGTCGATGGTCTAGTAGTTGGGTTCACAATCTAAAGGCCATGAGCTCGAATCCCATCAGAAGACGTACAGATATTATGTCCTTGGTAAAGGCTCTTTATGCCGAGTGAATGAGTACCCAGTTATAGACAGCAAAAGATCTTGTTTGGTTTGTTAATGTTTCAGCGCTTCATGGAAAGCTGAGAATGTTTCTGAGTGTTGCAGGGGTAACAATGTAGATTTGAAAGCACATAGAGCTTGCTGATGAGTGGGGATTTGGGCTATACGTCCGCTATTCATTATTTATTATTATTAGTTGTACTTGGTTGTGTTTTGTTTGTTATGATTGATGTCAGCACAACTCTAGCAGAGATAGATAGCGATAGTATACACACTCAGTTTGTAGAACAAAAGATGAGATCATGCTTACAGTTTACCTTTATTGTTATCTTAAAGCTACTATTTTTCTCAGATTCACATTTTAGTATTTCAACACAACACCAAAACTGAGCTGTCTCTATTGATGGAATGAAAAATAAAACGACAAACTATAACGCAGATCGCTTTTTACTGTAATAGAAATGAGGAAGAGAATGAACTATTGCGTAGAGCCCTAAATGTAATACAACTGACTGAAATGAGGAACAGAATGGTCAACAGCATACTGCGTGTAGAGCTCTTTTATTTGTTGTACGAACTATGGCCTTTGCTAGTCCATAAACATCTCCTGATGTTGCATGTAGCAAATGAAAACTGAAATGCAATGGGCTATTCAATTTTGCCTCTCTCAAAAATGAAACATTAACTCTTTTCTGAAAGAATTAATGACTTTGGTTATGCAAATTCCTTGTAGCCAGCCCTTCTTGGTGACTGTCAGTACTAACAGACATCTTGACTACAGTAAGAAAAAAAGTCCTGTAGAAAGCCCTGGAATGTATTGGCTGAAACAAATGTAGATATTGATGTCTAAATTTCGTTTTCTTTTGAAAATAAAAATCATCAGCACGCTTAAAGACTAACCAAAGTAAGGGTGTCAACAGGATTGTTTAGAATAGCATGTGCCTTGTAGAGTTTGTGTCGAGTTTTGAGATATTTAGTCACAAAGTTTGAAAAAAAATTCAACTGTTCCCTAACTCAGTCCTCTCTAGATGTAATCACTTCTTATGAACAGTCTTCATTTTTTCCCCAAATTTTTTTTCTGTCATTTGTATACTGTAAAGGGATCTGTTGTAAGTTTTTGAACATTTAGTCGTATGGTTTGAAAAAACAAATCTATTGCTCACTACGTCAGTTCGTTAAAAATGTAATCACTTCTTATGAACATTCTAGAACTTTTCCCTGGAAATCGTCTGCTTAATGTATACTGTAAAGCAATGTATTGTAAATTTTGGAACATTTAATCATGTAGTTTGAGAAAACAATTCATTTATTCCATATATCAGCCCGTTGTTATTGCTCTTTTGAACTTTCTAGAAATAATCAGCCAGTTGTATACTGTAAAACGATGTGTTGTTATTGATGTCTCTGCTGTGTCAAAAGCTGATGTGTTGTACACGATAAGTTAATGTGTTACATACAGTAGGCTGAGTAGCTCTGTATTCTGCCTCTGCTGTTCCCTGCTTTTTCCCACTGTCTGTTATCTCTTAAGTGCCACTTCCTCCTGTCTCACTGGACAGATCTTGAGGAAAGCTGACCTATACGAGGTACGTATTCCCTCACCCCTGGACTTTGCCAGAATGACTTGTTGCCTGCCTGTGTCTTCTGCTGGCCATGGTTGGAGATCTAGGGGGGCTGGGGAACTAGGAAAAGGGCTAGGGAACAAGCAGAAGGGATGAAGAACTAGAAGGGCTGGGGTGGTTGGGCTCGGGCCCAGAATGAGTAGTCGTACCTGCGCTAACTGCCACCTGTCCAAGACAATCACCTGTATGCAAAACCACTACCCTCTACCCCCTTTTGGGGTTTTTTTCTATATCATAATGGCACTAGCCAAGATATCCACCTGTGTAGGACATGGCATTTCCTGTGATAAAATGTCACATCTATTAATTTCTTCCAGCTGGGCTGGAATGTATTCATTTCCAGATGGACAGTTTTATTTTTAATAGTTATCAACTACATTTATCATTAATTAATCACTGGGCTGACCCCCAGGCCAGAGCGAAATTGCTCATGGTTGGGATCTGGCCCTAAGGCTGTAGTTTGCCCATGCCTGAGCTATAGTATACCTGCGCCCCAGAGTATGCAATTAGTTTCTCCATTCGAATTTTTTAATGCGGACAGATGAAAGTGAACAAACTATAATATAGCTCTGCTTCAGGGTGTGTGGTTAGTTTCTCTGTCTTTAGGATTTTTTAAAAAGCGAACAGACTAAAATGAACAAGCTATAGTATATACCTCTGACCCAAAGTATTTGGTTAATTTTTCAGTCATTAGAATTTTTTTTATGGGAACACAAAAAAGAACAAGCTTTAGTATACCCCTGCCCCAGGGTGTGTGGTTAGTTTCTCCATCTCCAGGACTGGCCAAAAGGGACACGACAAAACGTGATCATGGCACGTTGCTGCACCAACGCCCCCTTTTTGACAAACTCCCTTGTTTGCTTACAAGAAGCATCGTCCTGTTTTGCTTGAGCCATACCACTTTTCCTTTCACTGTCGCCCATATTGTGTCCCACGCGGGACAATGTGTCAGTGTGTGCTTGGTTGTTTCATCGTTTGACTTCCTTCGACAGGTCATATTATGTTGAGATATCTACCAAGCAGTAGTAGTGCATGGTAGTCTGCATTTTTTTTTTCAGTTTTCGAAAGATTTATTCATCTTGCAAGTGTAATAGAAAAGGCTTTTTTTAAAAACGAATTTTTACCAACTTCAAGAACATTGCTGTGAAATATTGCTCTGTCACTGTTCAAAGAGAAGTTGAGTAACAATATCACTCCTCTCAGTTTTTATTTGTTAATCACTTGGTTGACTCTTTGTTTTGTAGAGTGAATATAATTTGCTTCAGGATTTTACGTTTAGATGTATTTTTATCAAGCAAACCACCCAGCTTTATTCCTTGGTATGCTTATGAAAAAAACAATAATGAATGTGATGACTGCATTGCATATATTTGTTGTGGCTGTCAAAAGTAATCCAGCAGCTTTCACTGGTGAGATCTTGATATATTGATTCATGTATTGTATTTTTAGGCCTTTCTAGAATATGTTCACTGGCGTCTGTGGTGTAGCGATCAGGCACTGGGCTGTTGCACACAGGAGACCTTGTTTTGATTTTGGAGTGGGGAGAAATTTTTATAGAGTTTCCAGGTCTTTCTGCTGGGATGTTGTGGCCCTCTCATCCTGGGTTGGTCCTGACAGGCATAGTCAGAACCTCGCCTACTAAATGATCTGAATTATGTTGATGGGGGGTGTAAAAACACATACATTGAGAAAGAAAAAAGAACATGCTGAAGAGAGGTCGAATATTTCGACCCATGAAAGCAAAAATGTCTTGAGTGCCACGACTGCTGTTTGGAGAAAATTGCAAATGAAAATTTTGAACAAGTTTGAGTAGTGAGATAAAACAAAATCTTGATTTTCCTATAATTCTTGAACAAGTTTGAGTAGTGAGATGAGACAAAATTGCTTTGAAAGGTGACATCAAGCTCTATTCAGCCATATGTTTATGTCTGATTTGTTTATTTTGGCATTTAAGCCATTTTTGCTTTCAAGGGTCGTTTTACACGTGCAAAGAACTTCGATGGCATTAGCTTGGGAGAACTACAGTACCTCCACTCTGTTCACACTCATATATCATGTGTCATCTTTGTATAGCAATGTAGATGCAAGTTCACTGGCCACAGTGGTGTTGTATTTAGAAACGTGTAAAGTAAAAGGGGTAGTACAGCTACAAGTGTGTTGTAGTTAGAGGTGTGTTATAGTTACACATGTTGTGTAGTTAGATGTGTGTTATAGTTACAAGTGTGCTGCAGTTAGAGGTGTGTTATATTGACATGTGTGGTGTAGTTAAATATGTGTTATAGTTACATGTGTAGTGTAGTTAGATGTGTGTTATAGTTACATGTGTTGTGGAGTTAGGGGAATGTTATAATCATAAATGTGATGTAATTAGAGGTGTGTTATAGTTACATGTGTGGTGTAGTTAGATGTGTGTTATAGTCACAAGTGTGCTGTAGTTAGATGTGTGTTATAGTTATGTGTGTGGTGTAGTTAAATGTGTGTTATAGTTATGTGTGTGGTGTGGTAGATGTGTGTTATAGTCAAAAGTGTGTTGTAGTTAGAGATGCATAAAAGTTACAAGTGTGTTTTTGCTAGGGGTGTGGTATAGTTATATGCGTGGTGTAGATAGAGGTAGATAGAGGTGTGTAATAGTTATATATGTGTTGTAGTTGTGTTATAATTACATGTGTGGTGTAGTTAGATGTGTGTTATAGTCACAAGTGTTATGTAGTTAGGTGAATGCTATAGTCATAAGTGTGTTGTAGTTAGAGGTGTGTTATAGTCATAAGTGTGTTGTTGTCAGAGGTGGGGTATTGTTACAAATGTGTTGTAGTTAGAGGTGTGTTGAAGTTACAGTTGTGTGTCGTTAGTCGGACATGTTATGTTTGCCAGTGGGTGTATTGATAGGTGCGTTGTAGCTAGGCCTGTGTTACACACCCTTAGATGCAATATGTCGTCGAAGTCAGAGATGTTTGTTTTAGTAGAGTTTTTACAGCGCTCGCAACTGCATAAGGTCATATGAACGCCAAGGGGTCGATGTCGACAGAGAAGTCCTTACAGGGAATCAGACTTACTGTGCTCCCCTCTCTAGCTTCAACAGCGCAAAGTCTGCTTTGACTATCAAGGCACCCTGGAAATAGCGGGTCACAAGAGTGTGACAAACTTACAAAAGAAGTAGAGGAAAAAAATGACTATAGTAAGGATTAAGAAAGAAAAAGCAGCAGTTCCCTGTCGCAGTTCAGGCACATTATGAGCATGACATTGATTAATCAGCCCATTTACAATTACAATTCTACTATGCATAAAAACTCGAGATGTCAATGCCACCCCTCTTTGGGAATGGCCTAAAGACACTTCAGTCAGTAGCACCGCCCCGGGGGTTAGTCAGAAATGTGTTTTATTTTGCCTTTGGTGTTATAAGCGTGTACGTCTGAGGTTGTCATGGTATCGTGTTTGTACTGGGCTGCGCGTTCCCTAAGCATGATTTGCCCCCACTGCTTGCTCTGCGTGACCCTGTTGTGTTGACAGATAACCAGTGAATATATCGGCACCTCACTTGATACCTGCACTGCATCGTTAAGACCACAGCATTGTACGTAATGAAGAAGTTATCATGGTGCGTAAGGTCTACTCAATAATCATGTGGCACTGTGGTACAGGTGAACATGCTCTAATGGCCACCTCTCTGGACTATCACCTGTACTGTTAACCATTTCCCATACTCCCATTTTTTTATGTTTTTAAGAGACTGTCCAAGATGTTTTCCTGTCTAAGACAACCACTTTTCTCCTCAACAATGGGAATGGGACAATTTCGAATGTGTTTTCTTTGTGAAAGGTGCCCCACAAATTTGGGTAAAACTTATTTTTGTCTTCTGGAAAGTACAAGAAGTTGCACTTGAAATTTTCCAGAATGGCCTCTAATTGTCGAGGCGAAAGGCAGTTGGATGTCTCTGGCAAAGCTATTATAATATATAGTAAAAACACACGAGAGAGAAGTGGGAAGTGGTCGTTTGTACGAGTGATTGTCTGGGACAGGTGGTCGTGAAATCAGGTGCGACTGTAAATTGACTGCTCAGTGTAAGACCTGTAAGTAACCAATACATTTGCACTTTTCAAAATGATGAATGGCAGAGTCTTTCACAAAGCATTTGATATTTATCTCAGTCCAATGTGTTGTCTGATCTCACGTGTAACAAATGTGAGCTGGTGAGAGTGGAATATAATGTGAGACTGCTGGTGATATGTCTTTTGATAAAAGAAGCTCGACATTCAGATGATGGTTTTAAAAAGCTGTGTCATGTACAAAGTGTTACTAATTGTAGACACAAAAACGTTTTAAAACTTGTCTTTATTTTAGTGTCTATTCATTTACAGCGAGAGCAGCTGTGGCACCGGTGGTCTAGTGGTTAGCCCGCTGGACTTGTTGTCGTGAGACTGTCAGTTCAGGGGTTTGGGCTCAGCTCAGTCCAACGTAGTATTCTTTGTAAAGGCACTTTACACACATTTTCTCATTTGGCTCAGTTTTGTCAGAGACTGATGTCAAATTCAGATGTCCCGCCTCTTAAATAGCTTTACGGTGTTGCAATGGGCAGTAAACCAATACAAATTTGCACTTTTGTTCTTAGAGTAAGTACCAAATACCATGGTGGACTGATTCATGTAAAAAACATATTTCTAAATGCTGTAGTTACAAGAGTTATTACACAACATTTAGAAACTCTGTAGACAAAGGGATCAAAGTAGAAACTTGTGGAAGTCTGGAAGCTTTGCAAGCTTTGAGGGTATTGTGCTGAACTACAGTCCAGGTGTCAATGGTTCAAGTCCCCAAAAGGGACCTTTGTTGATGAAAGTTGCCGTCACACCTGCTCTAACAGTCAGCTGTCTAAGACAGTCACCTGTACAAATGACCACTTTCTCACATTTTTTCTACTGTAGAATGACACTGTCCTGGACGTCCACCTTGGTAAGACAACCACTTTTCTCTTTGACAATGGATGGTCATCTTGGCCAGTTTTGACTCTTATTTTGAATTGTCACCATCCTGGACCCACTTGACTGGGCTGTATGGGAAAGAAATGGACAATAAGTCAGAGGTCTTGCCTCTTGAATCACTTTTTTTCCTCAGAAAAGAAAGTCAAATGTTACCATTTTCGTTGGGTGGTTGGTGGGCGCTGTGATGGAATTTGCTTCTTTCCAATCAAACATTTTTCATCCTTATCTCTTTCTCCTTCTTTTATTGTGTATGTTACTTCTTCTTCTTCTTCTTCTTCTTCTCGATCGCATCACACTTGAAGTCCGGTATCTGTCATAAATTGGGCCGTCCTGCTCAGTTCATCTGGCGGCCCGTATGTGTATGTTACTCTATAGTAACACCTTGAATCTTTGGCACCAATATTACCTGTATTTATGTTTCACGTGCCATGAAAGCCACTGAAAACTGAAGCTAAAAACCATTGTGGTGGGAGTTTAATTGACTTTTTAGCACCTTGTGACCTGGTAAAGACGGAAATATGAAACCATTGAGACTGAGAAGAACAAGAGGCCAAAAGTGCAGCACCTCACTCGTCCTTTCTCTCTCCGCAGGTGGATGAGCCCTACATCAGCTTCTATTCTCGCTGTCTGCGCTTCACATCCAGCCTGTGGGTCGTCCTTTTTATGGTATGTCAAAATCTCATAAGTATCATTTACCGTACATGTTTTGTCAGTTGAACCAACGGCTTTCTGTCTTAAAATGTAGAACAATGCTTACCAACCTGGGAAATATTTCCCACTATTTGGTAATTTTGTTCAACACAAATATATATGGCATTGTGGTGAAATCAGACTCTTATCAAAATACTTTAATCAAAGAAACCGACATTTTTCTGTACGTTGGGCAATTCTTATCAAAAAATTTTTTGGGCTCAACACTTGTTATGTCTTTTTAAAGAGAAAATTACAGGAAACATTTTTGATGAAGCATGGCTGTTGTCATGTTGACCTAAAATAAAAAGTACAGTTTTCATGAACAACAATCCAACTAACTAATCATTGATACTCTTCATTATCAGGAATATCTCTGGAAAAAAGTGAAAAGACTTCAAATTGTTCAGAACTATGCTGGGTGTTTAGTTTTTCAGAAAAGAAAGCGAGACTGCTATACCTCTTTTGCAGACACTGCACCAGCTACCTCTTGAGAAAAGAATTATATACAAGTTGCCACTGTGTCATAAATTTATCGTCTCTGTTGAAATTTCACATTCCAGTTCGCAGTTTTAGGTCATTATCTAACAAAAATAAATTACTTTTTCCATCAATGAAATTTCAAATAAAAGTTGAAAGGGTATTTCATGGCCTCAAAATCTGGAACACACTGCCTGTAAATTTAAGAGAGATCAAATATTTTATTCATTCAAAAGCCTGCGCATGACTTTTTTTTTTTTTTCAGAACATAATGTACTGTCCATGTGTTGCTATTGTCTTTGTAAAGCGCTCGGTGCCTATGTTGTGGGTAGTTGTCGGGTACTCTGGTGTGGTTTGCTCCTTCTTTACTATCGCACAGCAATTGTCCGTAGTTTCTCTCCTTCCTTTTTGTTTGTTACTCTCTTGCAACACATTTAATCTTTGGTACTTCTATGACCTTATTGTGTTGCATGTGCCATAAGACTCTCCCAAAAATGTTTTTAAAAAACCAAAAGCCTATGTTATGTAATCAGGATTGAGCCCAATATAAATGTCATATATTATTGTTGTTCTTCTTCTTCTTCTTCTTCTTTTTCTTTTTCTTTTTCTTCTTCTTCTCCTCCTCCTCCTCCTCCTCCTCCTCCTCCTCCTCCTCCTCCTCCTCCTCCTCCTCCTTATTATTATTATTATTGTTATTACTTTCTCTTCCCCCCCCCCCCCCCCCAAGCTGTGTGTGGTGGTGGCAGCTGTGTTTGGCGTGATCGTCTATCGCATGACCGTGTCCGCGCTGCTCTACGCCGTCAACCAGGAGACCATTAAGGAGCGGGCCAGCACCATCACCGCGGCAACCGCTGCCTGCATCAACCTCGTCATCATCATCATCCTTGGCCGGGTGTACCAGGTGTTGGCGGAACTCCTGACAAACTTTGGTCAGTGGCCGGACTTCCTGTCTCACGTTATGTCTGTCTTATGTCTGGGATGTGTCATGTATGTGGGTGGTTGGCAGGTGCTCTGGTGTGGTTTGCTTCTTCTTTCCTATCAAACATCTATCGTCCCTATCTCCCCTTTTTCTTTTTTATGCTTGTTACTGTCTTGTAACACCTCTATTTAATCTTCTGGCTCTCATATGACCTTATATGCAGTTGCAAGCGCCGTGAAACCTCTACGAAAACTAAAAACTGTCACGTATGTCATCGGCGTTGTTGCGTGTTTGCTTAGAATAGTTTGAATTTATTGCATGCAGGAAAGTGTGTGTGAGGGGTTTGGGGTTGGATTACTTGGAGCCTTTGAAGGATGAGACATGATGTTAAGTCACATTACTGTTTTTATTATTATTATTTAAATTATTATTATTATTATTATTATTATTAATATCAGTATTATTATTATTATTATTATTATTAATATCACTATTATTATTATTATTATTATTATTGTTATTATTATTATTGTTATTGTTATTACTATGACTATTGTTATTATTATTATTATTTCTACCATCATAATTATTATGATCATTATTATTTTTATCATTAATATTATTACTTGTACTACTTATTGTTATTATTGTTGTAGTTGTTGTTATTGTCAATATTATTATAAACTGGGACAAGGAATCAACTAGTTCTGTACAAGGAAGTATTCCCGACTGACCTCTGACCCCCACCCCGCCCATCCACAGAGACGCACCGGACACTGACCGAGTGGGAGGACAGCTTCACCCTTAAGATGTTCCTCTTCCAGTTCGTGAATCACTACGCCTCCCTCTTCTACATCGCCTTCCTCAAGGGAAAGTGAGTTTCACATCACAGGCTTTAGTGAACTTTTTAAGGTTGACAGTTGTAACAGTATTATTAGTATTATATTTTGGACCGTAATATTATGGTGTAATGATGTTGTGTGGCCTACAAGGGAAACTGCTATTCTGTTTATGCTTGAGGAGAGCTCTTCATTGAAGGAAACTGCATTGGGCGAGTTGGTTCTGTGTCTCATGTGTTATATTTAAGGTATCTGTTGTCTATCCTGTTTGATATCGATCATCCACACCTTTACAACAGTTTTCTTCGTTAAAAGGAAATATTGACCCAACCTTAGGCAGAGAGACCCAAAACTTTATGGGGGTGTGGAAAATCTGCTTAGAACAGTAGCCCTTGCACTGGAGACTAGGATGTCCATTTAGATAGGAATGAGAAGCAGATGAGTTTTCTTCAAATTTTCTCAACTCCTCAGTACAGGAGTGTTCCAAGTCTTTTTTCTTCAGCCAAAATTGTCCCAAGACAGCCAGCCATTCACTTACCATAATAACATCTTCACTTTAAAGAGTAACAGCCACAACACTGTGATGTCTTGGAATATTGTCAACTTTGTCCTAGATGCCCACTCACTGTTAAAGAGAAAATGTGGGGGCTCTCCGATTTTAAAAAAAATGTTTGTCTGTCAAAACATCCCGATCTTTTTTTCTTGAATTCTTTTTCTATCATGTCGTATGAGACTTATCATACATGGCATGAAAATGCACATTTTTATTTGCATTTATTAGCGAGCTTTTTAAAATGTATTTGTGTGTGTAATACATGTTTATTCGCCTCAGTCACTTTATTATATAATCTAAATTTACTGGGTTACAAAAGACTACATTTTTTTAAAATTCTCAGACTCTTATCTTTGATTATAGAGTGGTTGGCAGGTCTGTGAGTTGAAAAATATCAAACTTTCTTCATCATTGATCTGTGGTGTGGCTTTAGTAATTCTGAATTTCTTCCACAAGACCTGATCTATGTTCATGATCTCTGTAGCTCAAGTGATTCAGTATTTTTTCCATAAGACCCAAATGTTATTGATCTTTTTAACTCAAGTGGGTGCTCCATTAACTTAGTTGGTATCTCATCGGACTATGGAGCAGATAGCCCTAGTTTGATTCCCAGACAGGTCGTTTTGTGGAGTTTTATAGGCTCTCAATCCATTTCACATGGTCCTATCGGAGACGGACATTAAATTTGGAGGTCCCAAGAATTAAATAATGTAGTAGTGTTGATAGGGGCGTTAAATCAGTGCACTTACTTTACTTTGCTATGGCTCTTAAAGATTCTGTATTTCTTCTATAAGACCTGATCTATGTTCTTGATCTCTGCAGGTTCGTGGGCCGGCCAGGAGATTATAACAGAGAAATCAATGGAGAGAGACAGGAAGAGGTGAGTTGAGGCTCTTGATCATTAGAATGTTTGGTAAATGGAACATACAGTCACCTTTGTGATTAACCAAAAAAATATTTCCTTTTTTTTATAGATTTAATGAACAGATAATAAATCATCCATGTCATATTCTCGGTCAAAGGCATGTCTTTATTTCAACTAGAAATGCTCCTGAAACAATAGAAATAAAGCCAGCTGCTAGGTTGGTACATGATGAAAAGAGATAAGTTTTTTGCTTCTCCCGTAAAATTTAGTCAGCTGGGGTTATTGCAAGGGCAATGATATATAGGGCAATTGATTTCTATGTGTATTTGACACGAAAAAATTTTTTATAGGAGAGGAAACCGGGGAAAGGATATTGCTACTTTATTCAGCCTGAAAAAGTTTTAAGGTGGCTCAATATGTATTCATTATTCAGATCGTTATTGTATGATGAATGTACTTCTCTTTCCTCCAAAAAAAGGCTTTGCTAAAAACAGCAACTCGGTAAGTCAATAATGACAGTTATCGTGGGAGTACGGTGTTGTTTTACTGTAACAAAGTCCCCCCACCCCCCTCTCCACATAAACACTACTCTTCTCCCCCCCCCCACACACACACACATTCTCTCCCCTATCCCCTCCCCCCCCCACACACACACACATTCTCTCCCCTATCCCCTCCCCCCCCCCACACACATCCCTCCCGTCCCCACCCCCTTCCTCTCCCTAATACATACTATTACACACACACTCACACCTCCTCCCTCCATTTTCTGACAGTGTGACCCGGCGGGCTGCCTCATTGAGCTGTGTATCCAGCTTGGAATCATCATGGTGGGCAAGCAGGCGTTCAACAACTTCAAGGAACTCATTTTGCCGTGAGTTTTGTCTCAGCTCCCTCCTCCTGTGTAACACACCCCTTATCTCCACTTATTTGAGTGGTTGGCGAGTGCTCTGGTGTGGTTTCCTTCTTCTCTCCTATCAAACATCTATCTGCCTTATCTCTCCTCCTTTGTTTCATTGTATGATACTCTCCAGTAACACCTCCTGATCTTCGGAATTCATAATATCACTTATTTGTATTGCAAGTGCCATAAAACTCTTACTAAAACTAAGAAAGACAATTTAATATTTTTTAAAAAGCTCCATGTATCCCTTTTCCCACCTGTGTGTTTGCCTACTCATTAGCTAAAATTGTTTGAAAACTTATTGTTTCTGAGGATGTTGAGAATGTTATAAAATATTTTTCGGTTTTGGGGGTGGGAATGTGTGATGTGATATTCCGTACATTTATTTCTTGTTTATATTAATGATCAAAGTTTCTTAATCTGTGATACCAGTTGCGTGTGAATGAGAAGTATTTTAAGGAAATTTAGATTCTAAATGTTGAGAAAAAGTAACAAAAGAATCGCTTCTCTCTTTTAGCTATATTATCTGCAGTCCTTACATTTTTCTGAAACAAGAGTGGATCTAAATGTTGGGGGGGGGGGGGAAAACAGCAATTAAACATCCGAAATGTGGATACAATTTTTAAAAGAATGAAGTGTCCTAAAAAATGTTGCTTTCTTGGCTATAATATTTCACACTGGCTGTGAGTAGGTGGTTGAAGAGTGCTATTGATAAGTCCTATTTCTTTCCTTTCCCTCTGTTTTTTCTATCTGTCTTACTTTATCCCAGAGCTCTGAGTGACCATACATTGTGTTAATGTGCTTCTTTTTACTCAAACGGACAAACATTGGCTGGGGGCTCTCGTGGCCTAGAGGTTAAGGTGTTGGCCTCTCATTCAAAAAGTCCCGGGTTCGAATCCGGGTAGCGACCGAAAAATTTTCTTCTCTAAAATTGTCTCCTTTCACCTCCTTTCCTGCTCTCTAGCAATGTTCTGTTGTCTGCTTTCATTTCCACTTTCTGCCCCCACCCCCTCACCTCCTTTGCCCCTCCTCTGGGCTCCTGACTCTTTCTGCAGCCTTTCTACTGCTACTCCTTGGCTCCTCCTTACTGCTGTCTTTCTGCCACACCCCTGATCTTCTGGTAGGAAAGATCTACACCTAGCCTTCTCGGACAAGGGCGAAAAATCTCGGAGGGCCCGTGTGCAAGTTGCGCACGTTAAAGATCCCTTGGTGGTCTAAAATCGATAAGAGTAGGCTTCGGCCGCCACCCGGGCAAAATTCAAAATTTCCTACCAACTGAAAATATTAGGTGTGTCCCGCGCGCTCAAATGACCTATGCAGTTGCGAGCGCCGTAAAACACTTTACAAAGACAAACAAAAAAAAACATTGGCTGTTGACAGGAAGCTGATGAACTGGTTCAAGTCTCGCAAGATGAAGGAGGCGGAGGAGAAGAACCAGGAGAAAGTGACCCGCTGGGAGAAGGACTACACCATGGCCACTATGCCCGACCTGGGCCTGTTTGACGAGTACCTGGAGATGGGTGAGTGACAGCTATCACAGGAGAACATATCGTTGTCTGAATCCCGTACTACCAGCGTAAGAGACATTTTGCTAATTGTTCAGGAGAACAGTTTGAAATTTTTGGTGACACTGCAAAATGGTGGATAAGTTAGTTTGAAAAACAGGATTAACTCTGTAATGGCTAATGGTATTGATACCATTTTGGTGACACTGCAAAATGGTGAATATGCTAGATTTTAAAACATGAATAACTCTGTAATGGCTGATGGTATAGATACCAGAATTCTAGAGGTGATACAGTATAGTTTAAGTACTTTTTTGGTGGTTCTAACTGGATTTTTGCCCTAAATGTCGCTTGCGCTAGTACATGTCATAGACGAAGAAATTGACTGCTTAGTGTAAGACTCAGCCGTATGCCATTTTGAAATGTGAGGTAAGGTATAATTGAGTCTTATGCGGAGTAGAACGAATATGATATGATCTGATTTTCACAGTGTTCAGGTGTCTTTTGTCGGGTTCTATTATATGAGAAAGGTAGAACTGTCATTGGCTTGGATTTGTTATAGCATGTGAGAAAGGTAGAGTTGTCTTTTGCTTGGTTCTATTATATGAGAACGGTAGAGTTTGTGTGTGTGTGTGTGTGTGTGTGTATTTGTGTAGAAACACCCTCACAATTTCCCTTCTCTGTGGAGTGAGTGGCTGGTGGATGCTCACGTATGGTTTACTCCTTCTTTCCTATCAAACGTCTATTATCTTTACCTCTCCTCTTTTTTTTTTCTTTGTATGTTACTCCGTAGTAACATTTCTAATCTTTGGCGCTTATGTGACCTATTTGAGTCGGAAGTGCCTTAAAATTTGTTTTAGTGGGTGGTTGGCGGGTACTCTGTGTGGTTTGCTTCTTCTTTCCTATCAAACGTCTATCGTCCTTATCTCTCTTCCTTCTTTTCTTGTTTTTGTTACTCTCTTGTAGTAACACCTCTAATCTTCGGCACTTGACCTTATTGTGGTGCAAGTGCAGTAAAACGCTTACTAAAAATAAACTAAAAACACTTGTTTTAAAACTAAAACTAAAACGAAACTTGTGTGTGACAGTGATCCAGTACGGGTTTGTGACCATCTTTGTGGCGGCGTTCCCCCTGGCCCCGATCTGTGCCCTGCTCAACAACATCATCGAGATACGACTGGACGCCTACAAGTTCACCACACAGTGGCGCCGGCCCCTGGCGATGAGGGCTCAGGACATAGGTGGGTGCATCGTAGTTGATGGCGATGGGGGGGAGGGGGGGGGGGGAGATAGGTGGGTGATGGGTAGGCATAGGTGGGTGGTGGGTGGTCATGGGAGGACATAGGTGGGTGCATCGTGATCTATGGGAGGACATAGGTGGGTGCATCGTGATCCATGGGAGGACATAGGTGGGTGGTGAGTGAGAGGAGATAGGTGGGTGGTGGATGAGAGCACATGAGTTGTAAGTAAAAGTACACCAGCACATTCTTTTTCATCTATACCTTGTGTCTGCTGCAGAACAATGTGCTTGTTAGTTTCAACTATTTTGATAATTTAAGTAATAAATAGTAATAGGTAGCATTAATTTAGTGCATATCCTCACTCAACAGGAAAACTCAATGCTCTTTACAATCTTTATGTTTCAGGCATCTGGTTTGGCATCTTGCAAGGCATCTCCAGGATTGCTGTGGTTACAAATGTGAGTGCATACCTTTTCTTTGTATTTTATTGGTGTTCTTAATTGATCGTTGATTTAGTTTTAATTTTAGTAAAAGTTTTACTATAGTGACCTACACAAATAGGTCATTTAACTTAATATAAGTGCAGAAGATTAGAGGTGTTACTAGAGAGCAGCATACAAAGAAAAGAAGGAAGTATGTACGGTTTACTTTATCTAACAGAACATAGGACTATACGCATATAAATGCTTTTTATTATTTCTCGTTATCTTCATGGGGCAGGGGGGTTGTGTTTTTTTCTGGTGTATGTTTTGGTCTTGGAAAGTTGATCTCCCACTTTGAGAAAAAGCATTAGGTTTAGTTGTCTTTTTCCAGTCAAGGATTGTTTATAACCCCTTGCCCCATGTTTTATAACCCACGGCGCACCGGCAGTGGAATTTTAGTTGCCGCGGGGGGGTTCCCCGCCGGGCGCCTTATCACGTCGGGGTCACGGGGGTCAGCTCCCTGTCGCCGCTCTGTCTGAGCCAACCTAATTTTTGGTACTTTTAAGGTGTATCCTTGTATTTATGGTAATTTTCATTTAGTGCAATCAAAGCACGCATTTCTGCTCTTGAGACTCAAAAAAGAACGGACTTTGTAACTTGTCTGGTTATTTCGTTAGACGCGCTGGAGTCGGCATTGCTAAATTGTAATTTTTTTGGGACTAGCGTGAATGAAAAAAAATCAATATAAAAAAAACGCATCGTCAAAATCTGTCGAACTTTTGGAACATGAACGACACAACATTGGTGCAGATACTCAGAAAAGATGGTATCTGCGTTTATAATAGAAGGCTGTAATTTTACAATTTTATCCATCGGGCACACAATTCGCTATGAAGTAATTCCTCCAAATAAAACTTTATGTGTCTAAAATAATCGTGAATATTTGCATATTTTCTCGAAAGTTTATAAAAGTTACCATGAAGTTTCTCTATGAAAAGTACAAATCGATTTTAGTGCTAGAATACATCTTCAACGTAGATCTAATACACGAACAGTATCTGTTACACTCCAGAAATTCCTTACTTTTCTTAAAACGCTAAGTCTAAGTTTTGTAAGTTGACTGAATAATAGGGATGACTTCTCATAATTGGGTTATAAGAATAATTTCTAGCTTTCCAGGGACACTGAATCAGCACCAGACTTTTCCAGCTTTTTTTTCTCGTTTCTATGACCATTTGCAATAACTGACAATGTGACTGATTTCTTTACATTCATAATTGTGTCCGCGCATATTTCCTACACAAAAACTAAGAATGAATGTTTTAGCTGTCATTATTTTTATTCCATACAAGAAGTTTATCTCTACCCATGTATTTACACGGTTTTGTGGTTTTTTAAATCGCTTATATTATATCTTTTTAGTTGTATGCAGGCTGCCACAGACACAGCATGATTCAGTAACTTTCTCTTGTTTAATAGTAAAATAAGAGCTAACGCTGATCGTCTTTAGTTTAAAAATGCAGATGTGCATCTTTCTTCTCTTATAACTTGACTATTACTACTCGCGCAGATTTAAGATTTCTCGTGGTAAAAGACATGATATTCGTAGTCAGTTTAACACAGATTTTGGAGAGATCTGTCGAGCCTTTTTTAAATTAACAATCATTTATTCATAAGTTTGTAACTAAAATAGGACAAATTGGGTACTCTATAAACACTTGTCTAGAACAAAAACTAAGACACAGAAACTAACCATTCTAACGCAGAATAAATCTCAAGACATTGAGCTTTTAGTAAATCCGCGTAATGGTTTGCTATGTGGGATGGGGAAGAAGTTATATCGTTTTAAACATAGTCAAAAATGCGAACTTCCTGACCGACACCGGCAAAGTCGCTTCAGGGCTCATTAACCCCGTGACCCCGAGCCGGGGAGCTCCGGCGGGCTGCTGAGTCACACGAACTAAAAGTAACAGAATCGGGCAAAAAGTGACGCCGTGAACCCCCTCCTCCGTGTTTTATAACCCCCTCCTCCGTGTTTTACAACCCCTGTCTCCATGTTTCCATCTCTCTAACTGTGCGGTTTGTCCACAGGCTCTGATCATCGCGTTCACCTCCGAGTTTATCCCCAAGCTGGTGTATCGCTACAGCGAGAGCAGCAACGACTCTCTGGAGGGATACATCAACTTCAGCTTGTCTGTATTCAACGTCTCGGACTTCTCAGATAAGGCCGTGCCGACCGACAAAAAAATTGCCGAATTTGGTATTGTGGAAGAATGCAGGTAATGGAAGAGGGTTTAGTGTAATTTTAGTAAAGAGTTTTATGGCAACAACATTGCTGAATTTGGAGTGGTGGGACAGTGAAGGAAATGAAAGAGGGATTCGTTTAGTTTTAGTATGAGTTTTACGGCACTTGAAACACAAATAGGCTACACAAGTACCAAAGATTAGAAGTGTACTAGAGAGTAACATACAAGGAAAAGAAGGAGGTTAGAGATAAGGAAGATACATGTGTGATGAGAAAGAAGGAGCAAGCCACACTAGAGCACTCGCCAACCAGCTACAGATGATGGTTTAGCATAAAATTGTTGGGGGGTGGGAAAAGATTCGGTGTGGAGCAGGGGTCACCAAACTTTTTAAAAAGTTGGCTGTATAACTGAGAGAATGCCTAGTGTGGGCAGTACGACTATTTTTGTTTGATACTGTACACCAAATAGGGCTTTCATTCTTTTTATTTAATAAATCAATTAACATATTGATTTATCCATTCAGAAAAAAAGACAGCAAACAATACTTTCCAAAATATCCCTGTTTGCAGTAAGAAATGTGCTAAATGAAAGATTTGTCGCAATTAAAGCCAAGCAAAAATTGTGATAGAAAAGCTGCAAGTGGTGAAATCTATTAAAACATGTTTAATTTGCACTGAAGAGTTCAATGAAAGGATTAGATTATTTTGGTTTTCAAATACTGAGTACACTACAAGTACATCTTCCAAGTTTTCCCCTGCATGGTGGCTTGATGGCCAGACAAACTGACCTTGTGAATAGGATCCTGCCTATTGGCTGTAGTTTGATGATCTTACTGTGATGTAGAAGCTAGGTGATTGAAGACGGGGGAGTTAGTTGTCGAGTAAGTGGGTGGTGAAAGGGGAGTTAGCGTAGACTACAGCTGATGGTACAGTCGAGTGATCCTGGTTTCCGTAGCACACAAATTCCTTCCTTCTTTGTATTCACCATGGGTGGTTGGTTGAGGGGCGCTACTGGTAGGTTCTTCTTCTTTTCTTTGCCTCTTTTTTTTCTATTTCTGTCTCTCTGTCTCTTTCCTTTCACTAAATAACCAGTATTGTGTTGATGTTCTTCTCTTCACTCGCTTGTAAATTTATACTCTCCATGAGCAGGTGGGAGGCGCTGTTGGTAGAAGGGATGCCTCTGGACTTCAATAAAAAATAACTGATTATTTTTTTCTAGACTATATTTAGCATGGGGTGAACCAATAAATGCAACAAAACAACATCATGTCAGTCAAACAATAAAACAAAGTTCCTAACGGAGGATGCCCGAAATAACAGAAAAAAACAGAAATCATGGAAAAAGGCATCCCTGTAGTAGGTTCTTTTCTTTGACTCTTTTATTTTTGTCCCTCTGTCTTACTTTTCCCCTTCACTAAACGACCATTATTGTGTTGTCATGCTTCTCTTTACTCACATGCTAAACTGTACTCACCCTGGCCCTTTTTGCGTGCAGATACCGAGACTTCAGGTCAAATGAAGCTCCATACTCCTACACCTTGACGCATTGGCAGATCCTGACAGCTAAACTTGCCTTCATCTTGGTATTTGTGGTGAGTTTGTTTCAACGGGCATCTCATTATGTATATATATCATTAGCAAGCTGTTCAAATATATGAAGCGTAGAGAGCAAAATTTTTCAGGAGAGAGAAAAATTTTGTTAATTCTTTTGACTATCACACCTACGTTATGTATCTTTTTATGTTTTTGTTGAGTTTTTTTTAACGTTTAGAATTTTGATTTCAACAAAATATTTCTTAAGCTCTTGTGACCACTTCCACAGATTAAAAAACTGCAATGAACGATTTTTCGAAATTTCGGACTTAATACATCTAAACAGTTGGCCAGCAGTATTAAACTGAATTTTTTTGTTTTTCGTTGAGTGGTAGAAAACTGACTTTTGTGTCGGATGGTATAAAACTGGCTCTTTATCTGTGACATGTGGTTTAAAACTGTTTGTTTGTGTCAGGTGGTATAAGTATAATATTTTCTGTCTGTGTCAGGTGGTATAAGTATAATACTTTCTGTCTGTGTCAGGTGGTACAATAGTGACTGTCTGTGTCAGGTGGTACAATAGTGACTGTCTGTGTCCGGGAGTATGATACTGACTGTTTATTTGTGTCAGGTGGTAGAGTACTGACTGTTTGCGTGTGTCAGATGGTATAAACTGACTGTTTGCGTGTGTCAGATGGTATAAACTGACTGTTTCCCTACAATACTGACTTTCCCTGTGTGTGCTCGTATCAGGTGTCAGTGACGCTGTTGTCGTGGCTCATCTCGTACCTGGTGCCGGACGTTCCCCGTGCGGTCAAGCTGCAGGTGCTGAGAGAGAAACATTTGGCCCGCGAGGCCGTCTTGGAGGCGGAGCATCTCCGACCGGGCGGTGGGATAGCGCAGACCGGCCAAGGGCTCCGGGAGCGTAAGGCGGCACCAAGTGGGAGCAACGGGACTAACTTGCCGGACCCAAATCAACCACTGTACTGAGGTACTCGCTCGGTACTCTTTGATGAACTCTGAATTTTGTAACATGCAGAGACTGTGGGGTTTGATGAATTTTTGCTTGGATTTTTTTTTTGGTTTTTTTTTGTGGAAGGTTTTTGTGAATATTTTTGACTATCAGACGTTGATTGTCCTTCTATGGAAACTTTAATTTGCTCATAGATAGATCTCTGGAAATATTTATATACATAATGTATTGAACATTGCTCATACGAGAATAATTTGATCGTTATTGGAGCTTTTAGGCTTTAATCTTAATCGTTTCTCCTTTTATCAACGTAGTTGCACCCAGTTTTATATTGAGTCATGGGTGTCCATTGAATTATATGGGCATGCCATTGATTCGGTGGGTAAGAATTTGTAAGTTCAGTTGAAAAGGCACCGGTCCATGCTGCCTGGGACCCAGGTTTGAATACTGAACCTTCACTTTGAAAGTTTGTAAGGTTTTTCTTGGTGTCGACGGAGTTACCACCTTTCTTATGGATTGAATTAGAGAGAAGTAGCACAGGTTTTTCTGTGAGTACGCACAGAACGTGAGGAATTGTACCAGTCCTTGGTATTTTGTTGACTCTGCTAGCGGACCACGTTTCCTCAAATAAACAACAAAGCATTCTCTTAGATTTCCAAGTCCTAGAAGCCTAGCTAAATGTTGCATGTTGGGTTGTAAAAATTTTTTCTTTTCTAAAGTGATGTTTTTTTGCTAATTTTTATACCGCCTTCTATTGTATAACTTGACTGTGGAATTATATGATTTGTGAGAGAGAGTTGAGTTGTGAAAGGTTGATGATAAATATTTGGAAGATGTTTTGAAGGGGGCTGTGTGCTGATGAAAGCCTTTCCTGGACTCAGTTTTGACAAGATTCTTTATTGATCTTCTTTCAGTCGACACTTCTGCTATCATGTCATAATTTCCAAGTGAAAAAGTGTAGAGATGTAGGCTATGCATGACTCTGAAGTAAGATGGGGAGGGAGGGGGGGGGGATTCCATACTGTACTTTTTCAATTAGATTGTGAGATAAAGTTTCATATGGCTAGTTTTATGTAAAAAGAGGAGACTTCCCCCCGCAACAGTTTGACTCTGGGTCTGACATTTATTAACAAACAAAAAGTGATATAAATTCCACGCTACATTTTTTTCTCCTTTATCAAAAATCTTACGTTGCAAGGGGTGAGGAATTCTCCCACCTTCCCGTATGGCTAGTTTTTCGAGTATCCCACTTTTTTTTACAAGATATTGCTTTCTGTGGGATGGCAACAGCGTGCCTGGTGCGTGCCTAATGTGTAACGTTTGGTTGTTGTGTGTTGTGTGAGTGCCTGTTTGGTAGATCGGTATTCTGTCCTGTGTTTATTTGACTCTCAGATAATTTATTCGTGGCATATGTTGTAATGTCTTGAAGGCAGTCGATTTGTTTCTCTCTCACAATCATTTTACACCCCCAACCCCCAACCTTCTCCTCCCTTCACATCATACGTGATATGGTGATGTGGGCCGAAGAGGCAAGGCAGCTTCTCGTACACCTGCTGGGAACTTCAACTTCTTTCCTTTCAATATGTGACCTCGTAATGGTAAAATGGATGCTAAGTTTGTGAGTGAAAGTGCTTTGGGTGAACTGGTAATGTATGTAACAAGTTAAGAATGTGTGAACTGTTCCGATATACATATAAGATCTACAGTAGTGTTTTCATCACACCCTCTGTATATGTATTTTTTTCTCTTCCAACTATGTCGTAAACTCGAGGACTTTTAGACCTTTAGCTATCCAGCAAACATTTTTTTCACATTTTAACTCATTCACTAGGGCAAGTAATTTTGTACCCTCCCAGACATAATTTTTCTTCCGGCAGGCAGGCACTCATACAGTACATTTTGTACACGTGTTTAGTTGTTTTTTCCACTGATTTACCTATTTATGTAGCAAAGTATAACTTATATATATAGACCTGTCACATGAATGGAAATTGAATGGGGAAATTTTACCAAATGAATTTTCAGACCGAAACATGGATACTAATATTTCAGAAAGTCTGAACTGGAATGGACTGAATGTATAGTCAAGCCAATGATACAGCTTTTCTTTGTGAAAAGGAAGATGGCAAGAGGATCAGTGGGCTTGTCGTGGTGAATGAGTTAATTAATTCTGACCAAGGTACCTGTACCTTTTTTCACTGACTTGCACTTTGCCAGCTGATATATGACCCTGACCTTGCTCCTCAGAAGCCAGACTATGTGAACTTTGAACTGTGGTGTTGACACTCAGAAAGGCCGTGATTAGTTGAGAGGACTGATAGTGTGTGACCATATGACATAAAACATGGGACAAAACTTATGGGGATTTCATTTCGATAGCTTGTAATTTGAAGTTCTTTCATATTGGAACATAATGTGTTGAAATGAAGGGAACATGTAGAGGGATTTCATTTTGTTAGCTTGTGATTCCTTCATGGAACATAATGTATTGAAATGAAAAATTCTTTGTCAATAGTAAATAATGTTCATACCGGTAAGATGGAGGTCCAATGTACATTTTTGTACGACATAATATGTGGCTATAGTGGAGATGTCTAGTTGACGTATACTGGTTGTATGACATACTTTGTTCATAAGGTGGAAAAAATCTACGGCCTGTTTCGACTTGTTCAAGCCTACAGCATATTCTCTCACATTATTAGAGTCTGGCCAATATGGGGAATGTTTAATTGATCAATCCCATGTTTTTATTTACACATTCATATATCTTTTTTTATAAAGTCAGGTGATTGTGTATGGCTTTTTATCCCATTGAAATTTTTCTCTTACCCGAGGTGACAATTTTTTGGTGTGTTTTTAATAATTTTACAAGAAAGTGACTTTTTTTCCTTTAGTGTTAGTTGACCCTAGACATGTTTGCATGCCTACATTTGTTTAGCTTCTTTCCTCCGCTCCTGTTTGCCACACAATTTTTGCTCATGAATTATGAACAATGCTCATCGACAGATGTGCCTCGAACTTTTATTGTCTGCTTGTCAACCTGTGGCTGTAATGGGTTAATTGTGCTTTCTCTTGGTGCAATGCTCTTTTTAAACTGCATTTTTAACCAACAATTTGCTTACTATTTGTCTATTATGATCACCACTAAATTTTATTCTACTTTGTTCTGCAGGCCTGGAGAGCATAACGGCACTAATTATGGCTGATATCTCTACCGTTCTATTAATAACACCCTGTTGATTCTTTGAGCAGCTTTTAATCTGTAAATCCTCACAAAGGTGGCTCTTCAACCAGAACTTCTTTTTGATCAATCAACTCTTTTCTGAGTGTAACATTGAAGGTGTTTCGCTGAATTTCAAGTTCTGCTATAAAGCACAAAATAACGCAACCTCATATCTCTGCCCACAGTTTGGGAACCAGTACCCTCAAGGACATTAAAATCATCCACGACTTGTAACTAATAATAACACCCTGTTGCCGAGGGATCTCTCATGTGTTGAGACACTGTGTGGACTGAAGAAATTATATCATCAGCCTTTTGTGCTAAGCCGTAAATTTTAAAAATCTTTTAAAATTGCTTATTTTTAATCTGTGGTATCGGTTTCATGTGCTTAGGAAATATTCTGTTGAAGTTCAAACTTGTAATGAAAAAGCAAGAAAAGTATGATTGTTTACAGAATGCAACTTTTTTTTCTCTGTGAAAAATGTTCCATTCTGGGCTTGGTACTTTTGAACAGCTTGCTAACGATATATAGTGCACCTTGATTATTCAGGCAGAAGGGCTATAACTCAAATGGCCGGTGGATCGGAAAAGTAAAATGAAAAGAAAAAGTATCTTAATTAATATATATATATATAAAAAATCAGTTGCCTAAGATTAAGGGTGGAGATACATTATGGAGACTTTTTGCACATATTTTTGTAAATCAAGTTTTGTCAAACTCCTGAATTACCTTGTTCATTTTGGGCTGGTTTACCACATGTGACTGCTGGCGGCTGAATCCAATTCCTGTTCCCTCTCAGAAGTCGCCATCCTCCATTCGTTTTCAGCCATCATTCATAGGTATATACTGTGCATGACAAGACTACTTATGTATGCAAAACTATTTTAGTGCCTTTTTTTGCACATACTACTTCTTAATTCGTTCTATATCGGGTACCTTACCTCTTTTTCGCTTGTTTTATGTATAAAAATACATGTATATATCTTATGTGTTTGCTCCTCAAATTTCTCCATCTGGCTGCCTGCCTTTTGTCCAGTAGTAAATTGTAGTATGAGTATTCTTACTGTGGCAGAAATGATCACATTTTATTCGATGAATCAATATATAAGATTGTAAACCAAACTGGAATGCCTCAACAAATTATGTAGGTTTTTTTTTCAAACTTTGAATAAAGTAAGAATAATATTCTTTCACAGTGGGAAATATTCTCCACTGTTGAACTGGAAGAACGCTACTCACCCTTCTGAATGCTAATTTTTTATTTGGCTTTTTAAAAAAAATGCCTCACACTTTGCTACCAAAAAAAGGTTTTCTACTTAATAAGAACTGTGGTTTGTCTAATAGAAGAAAAAAAAACTACCTTAATCGTATGAAAAAAGTAGCCTACACATAATTTCCTGTGTCGTGCAGCAATATAAATTAATTTTTTTTACGGTCCTAACACATTGGACCAAGCAGTCAGAGAATAGCCTACTAATGTGGATTCTGTTTCTCTTCTTCGTTAACCCTATCCGTATGTCGTGTTTTACTATCGTATCCATACAACGTGGGGAACTCTGTGCGTCCACTTTCAAAGAGGAACTTTACTGGTTAATCCGATCCGTACGCTTTGCATAATAGCAGTAGCAGTCTATCGAAATGATTTTTTTGAAGAAAACTGAAAGTTTCAAAGAGATCTTCTTACTCGAAGTATTCTAAAATGTGAGGAATACAACCCCGGGGGGTACAAAATGACCCCTGGGTGTACAAATAGGGTTAAGAAAAAAATCACTTTACTTCCGGTACCCAAGTTATTCTCATGAAAGTATTTTATAGATTATTCTTTGCAAAGTATTATTAAAACCAAGCTGTTGACTTGTAATTTTTTATATATAGCTTATGTATAGCGCATATCTGTGCTCAACAGCAAGCTCTCTGCCAACCTGCTACTGAAAAATAAGATAAGATTTGCTTAATACTTCTATTATTATAATTACTATATTAGTATAAATTTTTCCTAATGTGTATTTTCAACAGTCAAATACAGACTGGTACTTACTTTTTTATCAGTCTCAACTAAGAAAAATCAGTCATATCATATTATTGTTATTAGGAAGACCTATGATGTTCTGGGACCAAGCTACTTCAGTACTTTTGGTTGTACATCTTAATTGTTTTGGCAAATGACAGATGGGCCTTTCTGCCAAATATACAGTGGCTTATTTTGAATTATTCCAGCATTTACCGTTCTGATTCTGCTGTCTTCCTAGATTTCAAATCTAAAATCAAAAGTAGAAGTAGCCTCAATGTAGTCGTGGCATGTTTTTTTTTTTCTGGTTTCAAACGTGTGGTGGTTTGTATCTGAAATCCTTTTTGTTTAATCTTGCTTCTCTTCGGTGTGATATAAATTAATATGAATATAATGCCGTCTTGTCCAAACTCTTTAATCTATTATTACGACAAATTACATGCAACTTTATGACCACAGACAAATTGATCTAGCTCTGTACATTGAAATGTTTTCCATGGACTTTTCTCCTGCTCAATACCTTGGTGTTGGGCTCTCTGTCTTTACCTGTCCCCGCGGTTTTATGCAAAAAAAATTCTGAAATTATGCAAACTGAGCCCAAAAATGTGAAATGATGCGATTCTGTTAATTTTAACAAAGAATGATGAAGGAAAATAATAAGAAATTATGAAAAAAAATTATCAAATTTTGCTAAATTATGCGAGGTGCATAAAACCCCGGGGACAGCTTTACAGTAACAACACTGTACCATCTGTCAGGACTGAGAATACTTGAGGCTGTGCTTTTTTTTTACACATGTACGTAGCTGTGATGTGGTTGAGGAGAACAGTGCTTGTACACATGTACGTTGCCAAAGAGTCTACATAACAAGAGGGGCCACTTCTCTCTTTGAGCCAATTAAAAAAGTGTCCTCAAAATTCGGTGGCGCCCTCTTCGCAAAAGCGCACCTTTAGCGAACAGAGTTATCCTACTTGAGTTTAAAAAATCAAAGTGAAACTAGCAAGTTTTTGAATGAATTTCGGAAGAACGCTTTTTTAAAATGGTTACGCTGACAAAAAACCTCTTCCGGAGGAAAGGGTGATTGTTTTCTTCGTTTAATTTGACTTTAGAATGAAAGGCGAGAGGTCATTAAAATTTTATAAAACTAAAACTCCGTACTGAACGAACCCGAACTGCTGATGAACAGCAGTCGATCTGCGCACGCAAGGAGGTGCTATTCCTATTCTTCTTCTGGAAAAACGAAAGAGAGCTTCAAAACAGACTGCAGCGCCATCTGAAGCAAAGAGCATACTTCATGCGGACACTTTTTTGGCTGAGTGGCCCATCTTGTTATTTACTATCTTTGACGTAGCTGTGATGTGGTTGAGGAGAACAGTGCTTGTACACATGATGTATGTTACATAGAGCCGTGTAGTTGTAATATGGTCGAAGTGAACAGAAGTGTCATAGTATCACTTAAGCTTAAACTCACTGAATCCTGGGCCCCACCGGGCCAACTATTCCCTGGTCTCTGGGAAAAAAGTGGTGCATTTTTTATAAATTTTTAATCTGAGCTTTCTTATTTATGCCTGTCATTTCCTCAAATTGTGAGACAATGTTAGAAATAAAATAAAGACATAGATCTAAAACAAGAAACACACATGTCATTATTTTGTGCGCATGGAGGTTGAAAAGAGTGGGGGGAAAAATTAAGTGGAAAATCTCTTATGCTATTTAGCAGTTAACAATGGACCGGAACGACCCGTAATTTGCTACAGTAAAACATTTGTAGAAAATCTATTTCTTGCTCTAAAGAGGGTTTTTCCACCCTTGTAAGGAATAAAAGCGGAAAAGAAGAACTGACAAATGATATCTTGTGTTATTGCATATTTGCCATAGTACTGAAAGAAAAAAATTATGAAGTTGAAATTGCACATTCAATATGTGTGATGAAAGAAGTAGGCTGGATGTAAGTAGAAAACATTGCACACATATATAAATATAATTAAAGGATTCAGTGAGTTGAGTGGGAAGACAGGAAATCAGAATAGTTTTACTTTTAATCTTTATTGATTATCGTCACACTCACTGCACACAGCTCTAGACCAGAAATGTCTAGAGTAGCATTGTTCTAAAGCTCTGGGGCAGGATGTATATATGAAAACAAGGACAGAAATGCAGGCTTGCTAACTTTTTCACAACCTAATCAGTAACACCCTATCCTATGTAACATCACACTACATAAGCGGGACTGGTTTTGGTGCTGTGTATGTGATATGGCTGCAGTGTCCACTCAGATTCCCCATTGCCAAATCCGAGACAGTCCAGGGAAATTTGGGAGAGTTGGCGAGTGTAGAGCTGCAAAAAGAAATGTTGAAGACAGAAGCTAGTTGTGCTTTGGGTTCAAGCCACAAGACATACGCAACATACATCTATCATGTACGGTAGACTTTAAATGTATTTGATTGCCCTCACATTCTATCCAGAGATCTGATCACGAATGACTTACTGACTTTTTATTGCGCAGATACCATTCATTCATTTTTATTTTTTTTTGTCTTTCTGTCTGGTTGTTTTTGAAACTGTGGTTCAGATTTTTACGCAATCTCTTCACAACTGTCAAAACGTATGTGTATGTGTAATTTTTAAGCCATGTTTTCATATCGTACAGTAAAAAGACATATATATTCCAAACTATCATTTAATGCATGTTGCATGTATTAAAAATATTTGCAGTAAAGACACTTTTTTGAGTTTTTTAAGTCATTTCAGAGTGCGATTGTGCAGCGTGGGTGGCTTAGTAGTAAGGCTATAGGACTCGTAATCGTGAGGTTGTGGCTTCGGGGGTTTGAGCCGCGGGCCAGATGTTGTGTCCTTGGGAAAGGCACGTTACACGAATTTTCCCCATTTCACCCTGGTGGGAATGGGTACCCAGCTATAGACAGTGAAAGATATTGTCAGTTTGTTAGTGTTTGAGCACTTGCACTGCTTGCTTCCCGGGAAGCTGAGAATGTTTCTGAGTGTTCTATGGTCTGCTGGGGTAATAATATATAGCGTAAAACGCATAGAGCTTGCTTTCGAAAGGGGACATGCGCTATACAAATGCTATTTATTATTATTATTATTAGATAGTAGAAAACACCCATCAATGTGTATGTAATAAATTTTCCTCTACCATTTCGCAGGATAGCAGCTTATTAACGTTATTAACTCAGGTTTTCCAAATTTTACAGGAGGAATAAAAACACTGATTTTTTCATTATTAATATATCCGTAATATTATATCCATCAGTATCTATAATTTCAATTTAAAGTGTACTTGCACCAGACAATCGTACAACTTTGAGGTTTTCGCAGGGCATGTGCCCCTTCCCGGTGCTTCCGAATATGTAAAAAATGGATTTTCATGAAAACTGAGTTAAAATGCTATAGAAAACTACTTGAGCTGCTACCCTGCAATATATCCAACCTATATCTAATAATTAGAATTTTTTGGTAATTTTTAGTAAGTTTTACAGCACTTGCAACACAATAAAGTCATATAAGTGCCGAAGATTAGAAGTGTTACAAGAGAGTAACGAACAGAAAAAGGAAGGAGGAGAGATTAGGACGATAGATGTTTGATAGGAAAGATGGAGCAAACCACACCAGAGCACCCGCAAACCACCTATTGATAATTACTTAAATTACTAGTATGCTGCTCCATTAGCATTCAAAGTCTGAAACAGGGGCTCTCGTGGCCTAGAGGTTAAGGTGTTGGCTTCTCATTCAAAAGTCCCGGGTTCGAATCCGGGTAGCGACCGAAAATTTTATCTAAAATTGTCTCCTTTCACCTCTTTTTCTGTTCTCTTGCAATGTTCTGTCGTCTGCTTTCGTCTCCTCTTTCTGCCCCCACCCCCTCACCTCCTTCGCCCCCTCCTCTGGGCTCCTGACTCTTTCTGCCGCCTTTCTACTGCTACTACCTAAACTACTTGGCTCCTTCTTACTGCTGTCTTTCAGCCACACCCCTGATCTTCTGGTAGGAAAGATCTACACCTAGCCTTCTCAGACAAGGGCGAAAAATCTCGGAGGACACATGTGCAAGTTGCGCACGTTAAAGATCCCTTGGAGGTCTAAAATCAATAAGAGTAGGCTTCGGCCGCCACCCGGGCAAAATTCAAAATTTCCTACCAACTTGAAATATTAGGTGTGTCCCGGGCGCTCATAGATGACCTTATGCAGTTGCGAGCACCGTAAAACACTTACCAAAAAAACAAAACAAAAAAGAAACTGGAAACAAAGAACAGAAAGAGTTCAGCTCCTCGGGTTATGTGGAATAGTGGGAAAAAAGTTCTTATTTTTTTGTTTTGCTTAGAGTTTTATGACACTTGCATCACAAATAGGTCATTATAGTGAGTGCAGAAGATTAGAGGTGATACAAACAAGAGAATGACATACAAAGAGATGGAGGAGAGATGGGGATAATATTAATAGACGTTTGACCGGAAAGGGCACCCACAATACAATCACCCGCATGGGAAACAAGGACAGAAACAATCCCAGAATGCCTGGTAATCTGGCAGGTTGGATTACTCCGGCTCTCCCCTTAGTGGGAAACCTGGCAAGAAGTGAGCAAGTACTGATGGATCATGATGACAGTTGTGTTTAAGATAGAAAGGGGACAGCATTTTTTTACCAATACATTCTCAGAAACATTTCACTTCTCACATCTTTACTTTTTTAAGTTCTTCTCTTTCCTCCACTAACACTAACAGTAACATACATGCTCAGAGAAAAGAATGACTCATGAGGAGAGATAATTATAATGAAGATAGTGATAGTTGTTTGATAGGAAAGAAGGAGCAAACCATACAGGAGCATCCACCAACCACCCACACCCTTAGTTGTGATTGTGAGTGTGAGCAAACTGATAACACTCCAAACATTACCACTGGTTGTCCCATGTGCACTCTGGTGTTCCATTGGGAGCCTCATCAAATAACGTGTTGTTAGCATGTGGGGGAGGATTTTAGTTTTAGTAAGAGTTTTACGACACTTGCAACACAATAAGGTCATATAACTTATAAGTGCCGAAGATCAGAAGTGTTACGTGACAAGAGAGTAACAAACACAAAAAAAGGAGGGGAGATAACGACAACAGATGTTTGATATGAAAGAAGAAGCAGACCACACCAGAGCACCCGCCAACCACCCATGGGGGAGGATTACAAACAGGAAAATAGAAATGGGTCCCACAAGAACAATGATCATCATTGCTTTTGAAAAGCGATATTATCCTGTCCCCGTCGTTTTATGCAAGTAAAATTATTAAATTATGCAAAATGAGCCCAAAAATGTGAAATTATGTGATTCTGTTAATTTTAACAAAGAATGATAAAGGAAAATAATCAGAAATTATGCAAAAAATTATCCAATTTTGCTAAATTATGCGGGGTGCATAAAACCACGGGGACAGATTATCAGGGTGAAACCTGACCACTATAGTCCCAAACAAAAGTGGGGAGGAGGTGCATAGTGTTTGACACTACTCACACAGTGCAGTATCACCAGGTAGAGAGCAGTCGAGTAGGCTATATGTGTATCTAAAAACGTACAATACAGTCAGGCACAGATAACTCAAAACATGTCGGGGACTGATAAATGTGTTCGATACATCCATAATTTGGGTGAATCGATAAATATCAGTCTGGGAATGGCAAATTGTATGAGCTATTTGCGATTTCAAATTTCCCGTGTTCGTGTTATCTGAGCCTGACTGTATATTTAGAGTTAGACAAACCCTTTGTGTAATGGCTTATGTGTGGCACAGAGTAGTGCACTGGTTGGGTTGTAGCACTTGCAACCAAAATGTTATGGGTTCAAACCCCATCAGGGGCCCTATATATTGTGTCCTTGGAAAAGGCACTCGCTTTACTGATTTTACATAAATTTTCCTCACTTCTCATAGGTGGGAACAGGTTCCTAGAAATAGACAGCCAAATATCATGTCAGTTTTTAAAAGTTTTGCTAAGAATTTTACAACACTTGCAACACATTAAGGTCATATAAGTGCCAAAGATTAGAGGTGTTACAAGTGAGTAACAGACACAAAAAAAAAGAGGAGAGAAAAGGAATGTAGATGTTGACAGGAAAAAAGAAGCAAACTACACCAGAACACCCTCCAATCACGGGCACCATGTCAGTTTGTAAGTGTTTGAACCAATTCTGAAAACTGAGACAAGAAAGAGAAAAAAGAAAACAAACCTCAATGCTTGATTTGTAAAAAGCAATCGTTCAATATTATAATTTATTTCAAATACAAGAGAAAAGGAACAAGCAAAATCTCTCCAATCCAATCAAACTAAAATGTTTTGTGAGATACACAAAAAGTGGCATAGCTACATTCTGCAATAATCTATACTTTCTTTTCTTTTGGGTATAGAAAACATATAGCACTCCGCAATGTCCAAGGCATGCATTATCAGTATCACACAGGACAGACACACAGCTTGGCACTCACAAGAGACTGCTGTTGTTGTGCTAGAATTTGTGAACACACTACACTCATACAAACGCATACACACATTTGAACACACTCTACACTTTTCAATTTGAACACATACACACATTGGCATCATACTAAAGTAAGCACACACAGTATAAAGCATTTATGCCATACGTGTAATGTAAGCCAACATCTATCTAGTGACCTGACTTGAATCCTGTGTCACAACACAAAAGAAATTGTCATCACTCACACCACACAGCAGATATCAGCGGGCAAAGCAACTTGGTCTTTTTGCCCTTCGACAGAAACAACAGAGAACCTTTTACTGCTGCTAACAATTCAGTCGTCCGTTTGTTAGACACTTCTGCAGTTATCACTACTTGCCATCCGCAAAAAAACAAAACAAAACAACAAAAAACAAAAAGAAAAAAACAAGTATGATCTGTGACAGCCTATACATCTGATTTGGGTCTACAGAAAAACACAAGACAAAGAGCGCGGTTCATTTCATTTCTCTGATCCAGTGGCTACCAGAGCTTGAGCCCCGAGTCCTTTGACCTGATAAGTGCTGTTAATATTTAACACTTTTAATATAACTTGACTTCTTCTACCTGTTAACTTCCAAAGAGTGAATTGGTTTCGATGTGGACCTTTCTGCAGACACAACAATCGTCCTTGAGCTGGTCTGCTCAGATCCCACTTCCTATCTACTTTTGTTTTATTCCTCCAACTCTCACATCCCCACTAGGCTCCTTCCCTTTCCTCCATCCCGAGATGTGGGCAAAACTGAAAACAGTTTGGGTACCGGTACTATCAGTCATCTCCAGTCACATGCATGGCCCATGCCCTTTCTGCAGACCTAGACGGACCCTGATGTTGTTGTTATCGATCCAGGGACGGACCCTGATAAATATTTGACAATAATTGACTCGTACTTGACATGAAGCTGATTATGTGGACATAAAACATAAGATTTTTCTTCAGACACGAAGTAAACAGTAAAAAATCCAATGTTACAACAACTCACATTGTACACACACACACCAGGAAAACTCTAATCACATTTTCATAAAACTTTCAACATAATATAAACCAGTTGCGCAAGGTCAGTCAAATATTTTCCCCCACATGACATCAGACCCAAGATCATTTATCCCATCTTGTTTGACTCGCGCTGCAACCGCTGGGCGTACACTCGAGAGACCAGGTTCCACGTGTCCATATACCTGTCCATGCACATGGCGATGCATTTCTGAAATGGACCAAGACAAAGTTTAATACACTACAGTGCACTTTTACTTTTATTTTTTAAAATCCTGTCATAAGAAGAACGATCTTTAACTAAAGACTCCACACTACAACTGGTACACCATCATGTCAAAGTAACAATTTTTTACTTGTTTTAGTTGAGGTTTTACGGCACTCGCAACTGTATAAGGTCATATGAGCGCCAGAAGATTAGAGGTGTTACAAGAGAGTAACAAACATAAAAAAGAAGGAGGGGAGATAAGGACAATAGATGTTTGATAGGAAAGAAGTTCAACCACATCAGAACACGCGCCAACCATCCAATTTTTTACTGAGACTACACACTATTCAGAATTCAGATATATACCTTACACCATCAGCTTACACAGCAGAACACATAACCAGATGAACTTTACCATAGGAACTTCTCTGTAAGATAGCAAGAAAGAACCCCAGGATTCAAATCCTGTCTAATCACCAGTAAGTGGAATGCATTCATTGATTTATGAAGAGTGGCTTACAATCTAATACATCTTAGAAATTATAAAGTTGTAAGGAAAAAAAAAAGTAGATCTAAGTCAAGTACTTTGCTGATAGGCATCCTCGAATGACAATTTACCAATAAAAATCCTATATATGAGAACACATGCATGTGTTTATATTATTCTTCTTTTCCAATTTGAAAGTTCACTCCGTACATTTTAAAAATAAATAAAACACCATCCCTATCATACCCCGTTCCACAGGTCTCTCTCAAATCAAATGTACTGAAAAAACAAGGAGACAAACTTCCACAAAAAACAAAACTGTTCTAATAGTGACTTTCCTTTTGCCACACATTCCATATTTGTGGAGAAGAGCGTAATAGTAATAAAATATCAGTATGAAAAATTTCCCTGAAATCATAATGAGGTAGGCTAGCATAGCTTGGTTTCCAGAGCTTTTCCCTCTCAACTCAATGTTTTCTTAATGAAATGTGCAAGCTTAACATTTTGGTGTTCCCAGGTTTGACATTCTCATTATAATGTGAGGCAGCGCTGTGAAATCAGGCGCTTGTCCAAATAATTTACTTTACTTTTACTTTTATCCGCTGCTTATACTTATACCCTTTTGGGTGTCGCGGGAAGAAAGAGACGTCTCTCTGCCACCAGCCGGAGAGCTTGGGTCAGGGGGAAAATAATCAAAGTGAAGAAACACATTATATCTGTGTGGATTTTACTGAAAAACCATGACTGAAGGCACAAAAAATGTAAATTTTCAGTTTAAACCGACTCTCAAGCTAAGGAACTAACTCATCTTTGGCGGCCATTTTCTCACTAATTTTACCTCTGAAACCAGGTGGACCCCCTACTCCTTCATTCGCAAATATCTCGACTTCTATTTAAGAAAAAGGGATATTTTTACAAATCCAAAGCAAGACAAATGAACAAGCTTACTTTAAGATGGTATCAATAACTCTACATGCTCCAAAATTGACGAGAGCCTGATTCCATCACGTTGTGATACATAATACTATATGTGTAGGTTTCTGGGTTTTTTAAAACTAAAAAGCAAAGCAAATGAATAGGCTGTGTATCAATAACTCCATATTCCCCAAAAATGACAAGCACCTGATCCCATGAATCATTTTTATCTTTTGGATTATCTGCAACCCATAAGCCTGAGACTGATGTTTGATGTGGGAACACGAATGCAGATTAAACAAATACTGCAACTGACAAAATTTGGACTTACTTGCTCAGAATTATCAAGGGTGGTGCCAGGCTTTGAGATACACTTCTTGTAACATTTCTCCGACATTTTCTGAAAAAGTGAAAACAATAGGAATAGGAATATACCACAGGATGGGAACAAACCATCTGGAAGTGGACACTGCTGTTTCAACGTCCAAATTTTAAAAAAGTGAATTCAATACACTACAACAAGACCATACCCTCAGATGATTTATTAAACATATAAGCACGGCAAGCATCATAGCAGATGTCACTTTTCTTCTTCTTTTTTTTTTTGGCCGGGGGGGGGGGGGGGGGTCGGGGGTCCCATGTCCCTTTTTCGGGTGTCATGTTAGTGATCTTATTCATATCAATAATGATTGACTAATGATAATGTGAGTAGTAGGTGCAATGATATTTCTGTATATTTAAATGGAACAAAATATAAGACTGTGAAAAGCAAAAATTACATTTATATCTTAGTTTTTTGCTATTTAATTCTTTAGAGGTTTTTTCTTTCCTAGCTTTTGTCACCTGTTCTAGGCACACCCAAGGCTGTCCTGAGGGGTGGGCCACACATACTCCTTTCCTACTCCCCTTGCATTATTATAAATGGTAGATGTCACTTAAAAGTTTATACACCACTGCAAAGGCGATCTACAAAACTTGGGGCCAAACCTGGACTGGAGAGCTGGAACTGGAAGTATATTTATAGAGGCGGAGGCAGCGCTGACTATTTTTCAGTACTAAATGAGCAGTCATATTTTACTTTGTTTTTAACAAAGGGGGTTTCAGGGGGGCATGCTCCCTTGACCTAATAACAAATATGGGGGGATGAGAAGGGGGCATGCCCATCTGTATTTAACAATAATTTGATGTTTTGCAATTAGGTTTGATATTTTCTTTCGCTCCGCACCCACCAATCACTGTATTGGCACTCACAGTGAAAAGTAATCGTTTCGAACCAAAAGTAATTGTTTAGGAGATATTTAAAGCGGTCGGTGTAGCCATCATTGAGGCCAAAACTGGATTATCCCACAAGTCACAAGGCCTGAATTTTTCAACATACGGCCCTCATTTGAAACCTTTTCAGAAGCTAGAAACGATTACGTAATAGACAACCCCCCCCCCCCTCTGAAATGATGTGAAGTAACATCTCTAAACCAAAATCATGTTAAGGGCCCTTGGAGACGGGGGGAGATTCTATAAAAATACCAAATAAACATGGCCAACAGACGGTAGAATCCATAACACAAATTACAGCACAGATCCAAGTAGGCCTAGAAGACTAGAGTCATTATAATCAACGCCAAGGCTGTGAGCATACTACACTTTGCAGTCATACAGCTAGCACTACTAGCAGTACAAAATACCCCATCTGGTCACACAGCCAGGAAGGAGAGTCACTGCAACAAACTTTTCGGGACGGGCGCAGAACTGCAACAGGTGACAGGAACGGATAATTTTCATTAGCAACTAATTATTGCGCCAACTGACTGCAAAGTGTTAATAGGATCTAAATCTATACTTAAACGTTACAGCCAGAGAGGAAGAGAGAGAGGGAGAGAGAGAGAGGAAGAGAGAGAGGAAGAGAGAGAGAGAGAGGGAGAGAGAGGGGGGGGAGAAAG